CAGAAAGAGAAAAAACCGCTCGAGAGCAATTGCAATAGAAGGGTGAGAAGACGGCAAATGCCGAAATGCAACCGCTCACAATGGAAGTTCAAATTAAAATGAAGCAGTTGGAGACACGTGAGAACGTGGAAAATGGAACATCTCTCAAATATGCAAATCATAATAATTAGTATGGTTGAAAGGAGAAGGGTGTGGTGATGTGGAGAGAGTGAGAGAGGAGAAGAAGAGAGTGGGAGGAGTGTCATTCAAAGCACAAATTATAGCTAACTATCGAGCAAGTGCTCTAAGTAATACATAGGCTCGCAAGTGTTATTCTTCATCTTCGCTGCATTTTTTTTTCGTTTTTATTATTAAAAATGATTATTTGCTTGAAAATCAAATGAGTCTTACGAAATGAAGTAAAACAATACAAATAGAAGAGAAAACAGAAGACGAAGAAGATGAAGAAGAAGAAGAAGAAGGAAATAAACGATAGAAGAGTATTCCGTATATCGTTGGTGACACATACACGCCCAACTTGACGTCTGATAAATTGTTCGTCGCTTAGCGTTTTTTTTGTTCTTCTTACTAAAAAAAGACAATAGGACGGAATGGATGGAGAGCAAATGATGTTGATAAAGCTCTAGTTATCACTATCACTACTACACTTACTAGCCATTCAGATAGCTCATAAACATGAGCCACAAGGTGAACTTTGAGGGAAAAAACAAAAGATTCCATTCAGCTGACACACAGAGTCATCATTAAAACTTTCATGAATCGTCTTGAAATGGCGAAAACGATGTGACAAGATGGGAAAGCCTATGAATTGTTTGTTTTTGCATCAGTTTTATAACTCTTGTTCGCCTATTGAAGCAAAATATTGGTTGGAGGTAGGATGCGATTAAGAACACAAATGATAGGGTCTCAAACAGAGAGTTTGTAAAAGCTTTTGCGTTTTATGAAGTCATCAATGATGACGAGTGGATGATGAGCGCAATGAGATGATGAAGATGATGAGACAACGATTCGACTGCAGGCGCAGATTAACAACTTTGTATATTGTAGGGCAGCTGAGAGGAAGGTTAAGACATTTCAATGGAAGAGACATGCTTCTCCACATTCTTCGAAAGCATAACAGGATGAAAAGCAGCAAAAAAGCTTGATGATTACTATAATGTGACGCTCAGTAAAAGGAATGCACGGCAGTAAATAAAGGTCGGTCGAAAGCTCTACCCGCTTTTCCTCTATCTCCAAGTTTTGGGCAGCTCAAGTGCCTATATCTTTCTTTTTTTTATCCAAATTTGTTCGTTTCCTTCGAAATAGAGCCTCTCCGCATTTGCATCATCTATGAGCCGCTTTTGAAATTTTCGTTTTTTCTTACTTCATCCGTTATCTTTCACCACTTCCTCGTGTGTCTTCATTCTCTGCAGACAGCAAGGCTTCTCTCTACTGCCAGCTTCTTCTTCTTCTTCTTCTATCTAACATTCATGCTCGCTCAACTCGACATGGACAGTTTAAGGCTGTTGTTGGGTTGTCATCTCTTCTCAATCTCAACCATACGCTTTGCCATAAATGACGGTTCAATAACTTCTCTCTGTTAGCTGTTCACAATCATTCTGAACAAATCCGTCTGCTAAGAGTAGGAGATGAGTTTGAAGGCGAAAAATCGCCACCAAGAGATACATAACTTTAACAAACAAGAAAGAAAACAGCAACAAACCGACACATCAGTTGTAATTCGAATGATTGTCTCTCTCATTCTCTTGATAATCCATTGTTCTTTCGATTCTTTTGGCCTTTCTGCTATCCCACAAGGAGATGCTTCTCTGATATCCTCAACTGAATTCTGTTATTCATATTCATTTTCTGCAATTTTTTAGATTTCAAAATCGGCCGAGTAATATCATGTTTTGAATAAGATATCAGCATATGCCATCTGGTTGAGAGAGAGAGAGAGAGAGAGAGAGAGAGAGAGAAAGAGAGAGATAGAGGGTGAGAGGGAAGAGCTAGAAAGAGAGAGAAACCAAAAGACCAACAGCAAGGTGAGCTATTCTTACTCATTGCATTATCTTTATATTTTTGAACATTCTCACACAGAGTTGTTGCAATGTCCAGGTAAACAGGAAGGATATCCATGACACCCCGACATCGAATCTGTGGGAATTCAAAGATTGCGTTGGAGAACCATGCATCGAGCAACCAATCAGTTAGATGATATACTCCAAATGGACGGTCTTTGAGTAGCTACAGATCACTGAAGAAATTCAATCCGAGACAATAGAAAGTCCGTTGAACTTTCAGTTATGAAGGTATGTGAAGAACCAGTTGAAGTCAAACACAAAGGAGTTAAGGGATATGCTTAGTATTAATGTTTTCAATGTAAAACTGGAATCCATCCGAGTCTTCAACAAGAATGATATCATTAATGAGCAGCTAGTGGAAAAATAAGAAAAACAAAGACATGATTCGAGAACTATTGTTGACCAACTTCATAATTTTGAAGAAAATGCGTGCAAATACTTCCAAAGATCGTTTTCACTTCTATCATTTCAGGAAACTTACCGAACCAGCAAAACGTGTATGTTGATATTGACGGGACGAGGAGTAGATGTGTTCGTAGAAGGCGTGGAGGAGGGGGGATACGCGAATGGTCATCCACACATACACAACGAGCTTCCCACACGGTGGTAAAAATACTTGAAGTGAGGGAAATAATCAATTCTCCTTCTTCGACCATTCCTTCACATCCATTTGAGGCTTAATGTGATTGGAATCACGAGGTCATTGTACAGGCCCTCCCTGCGTGAGTGGATGGGTTTAGTACAGTTAGAGGAAGTACTTCAAAGAATATACAATTTTTATTTATTTTTAAATACAATATTAAATGATGAGAGGCAGAAAAGCAAATCAGTATTAGCACAAAGTTACACGCCTAGTAAACACATGATATACCGGTAGCAGAAACAAAGTACGCCACAAAAAGAAAACAAAGCAAAACTCCTAGGGCAACAAGATGTATAGTAAGAGGGACATAGCGCTAATACAGTTCTTAAATCTCACAGCTCTCCCATATTTAGAACTAATGCAATAAGCTGATTATCAATCTTGAAGCATGAAAACCACTTGTGACTTTTGGCGTCACAATAACAAGCCAATATAATATTTTGAAAAAACGGTAAAACATCTTCTCAGCATAACGAAATAGCAATCTAACCTCTGGATAAAGATTTAGCAAAATATAAATAAATTAGCTTATTTTAAATAAGGCAAAATGTCTTTTAACATACATTACCCGAGATGTATGCCCTAGGCATAACAAAACAAATATCTATCTTCAGTTTCTAGAGAGATCAAACCTCGTCACGAACTGTCTCTAAGGGATCACCCAAGTTTATAAGGCTACAGCACGTGTTGGACTATTTAATTGATCGTGTATTCGAATGGCATCAGTGAATCCCATCGGTTTACTTCTGTCTCCGTTCAATATGGCACTCGCCACTTTCTCTATAATACACAAAAACATAATCAGGCATCAACGAAACGAAACGATACCTTTCTCAGGAGATATGGCTCCTCTTGTTGCTTCCTCCAAACTAGCTTTGTAAGCTTCCGACGGGCTCAACTGAGGTGACATCACTCTTGGAGATCCTGAATCTAAGTTGAAATCTCAAGAGAGGAAGAAATAACCTTGTGTTGATTCGAAGAGATTACATGTTGATCCATTTCTCTCTTTGATTGAGCTCCTGTCTTCATTCGCGATAGACAACGCCGTCCCAACTGACTGCGAGTCGGCAAGTTTCAACTGTTTCAACTGCAAAACTTTATAACTGAATTTTCGCTCCGCCACTCAACGCACCCGAATGTGCCCTTCCTTCCCATCTTTATCCGGAACATATAAAATCGTCGTCTCGTTCACATCACCTTCTTCAACATCGTTACGTCGAACTGCAGACTCTTCTAGTCGCTTCTTTTGAGCATCAATCTTAGCTCTCGACGATTTCGCGTACTCCTCAAACCTGAAAAGGTATTATTTGAGGTAAATAAGGAGCAGACGAGAATGAATTGAAAGTGTGAACGATGAGAAGAATGCAACTTACGATGGAAGTTGACTACCAAATAACGTTCGTTGTATGTTTTTGAGACAACCAATAGTGAAAGGGTTATATCCTGATTGGAACTTGCCCGTAACCTAGAGAGAGAAAAAGTATGGAGGAGATGTATGAAATCACAAACCTGTTCGTTAGTAGTTCGTCCTCTTGATACCAAGATTATATGAAACACGGTCAAACCAACGACAGGGACTTCTAGTATGGCACATAGAATAAGTAGAACGATTGAGCACAAGTTTGGTCTTTCCAGCATTTCTCCACTGAACAATTGAATTTGAAAGCAAACACTACTCAAATGGAACTCACTTGTTAGTTATAGTATAAGCTATACAGACGGAAAATACTAAAATCATGTGAATGCTAAGAAACACGAGGAAAAAGAAGAAATATCTTAAAAACAAATTCGAACATTACGACGTTAAGACAATATTGGACAAACCTATAGTTACGACGTCCAACACAGTTGTGGACCCAAGGACAGTGATGATCGAAAGTATCTATACATCTGTAAGTACATAAAGATAAGCATGATATTCAATGCGTGCTTGTTCAAACCTGTTGCAGACTGAGCAGTGACTTGAACGAGGAGGTCTATAGAACTTGCAGGAGATACACCATTTCATACGCACAGTTATTCCTTTAATTTCCACATTTTTGTACAAAGGAGATCGAAATTCATCGTCAGCTAGATCTTCTGATGTTTTGGCTGCAAATTCAGTACATAAACGACATTCAAATTGTAATCGATGACTCACAAATGGGATGAATGCCGGGATCCATACACATGGCCATCACCAGATTAGACATCACTAACAAGAAAATTATCACATCAGCTATGATTAACGAGAGACCAATCCTATAAGATAGAAATAGATGAGCTGAGTGAAAGAATGCAAAGGAAGGTTACCATTCCCATTTCTCATACAAAGCTGGTCCAAGAAAGTAATAATAGCATGTTGTACATACTACTATAAGAGACCAAGCAATGACTGATGGCAGCAACTGGCTAAGCCACTTGCACATCGAACCACAATGTCCCTGTAAAACATATATCCATTAGAATATTATTATAAATTATCATAAACGATGAAATGTGTGGAAGACACTTGATATATGGAAGTTTGAATCAGAAAGTCTTAATAAGGAAAGCGATGCGCATTTGCATGTTACAGTAAGCGATTTGTGATATATGTTTCTATTGCTTGAGAATTTTGATTTATTTTCATGAATAATTCTAAATATGGAAAGCTACAAATAGAAGAAAAAACTTGGGCATATTGCCAACACCGAAACTACACACAAAGGACGACCGCCCATAAAATGGAGCGTGACGGGACCATTTTCTCGGCGACAGCAACGCTTATTTACATTGTATCGTTGCTTAAAGCGGTTCTGCTCTTGAAGGATCAGTTTAATATATATGTATATTTACATAAAAATGGTGATCATGTGTATTACTCAAGGAAGTTTGCAAAGGGTTTTGAAACAAATGGTCCTATCGACAGAATTGAATTCAGAAAAGAGACATAGAAGAAGGAGAAGACGGAAGAAGTTTATTTAAGCAAAGACGAGGTAGACGACACAGTGTTAGTTAGGTACACGACGAGATATCAGCATTCGTAATCGGCAGCTTATCAATTTTGATAGGAATGAGGATATTTGTTGATTCACTCAGTTCTTCTCCCTATCGTCAACCGACGACGCACAATAATTTGGTTAGAAGAACCATAAACTAACTTCTCTTCTTTTCTTTTCGCAGTCCCTCGTTAAGAATTATTTATTGGAAATTCAATCCGAAGTTTGCAAGGCTAATCATTCAAAGTTGATGTAAAAGATGCGCAAACCTTCAATGAATTTGTTTATTCTGAGAGATAAGATCTAGAGGTGAGTGAAATGGCAGATTGACCGACGGCTACTGAAGCACTTTTAAGATGCAAGTTTCGATG